ACATGGGCAGAGGCTTGAAAAGAGCTTGTCCTTTTTATTCCTGGAATCCCCACACCACGTGAAGAAGCCCTCGCTGGCCTGTTGGATGAGACACATGTGGTCCGGTCACCCGGGAAGCCTTAGCTGACCACGGGCCAAGTGCCTGACAAATAAAGCCATGGGAGATCAGCCAGCCCCCAGCCAACCCACCAACTGATGACATATGCATGACACCAGCCACGCCTGAAGTAAAAAAAAAACAAAAAACTGCCCAGCAAAATCATGAGCTCAATAAGGATTTTAAGCCACTAAGTTTGGAGTGGTTTGTGTCCCAGCAAAAGCGGACATAAATACTCCATTTTATAGATGAAGAAACTAAGGCACAGAGGTTCCATAACCCATCAAAGTCCCACGGCTATTAAAATCTCAGTTAGGATTCAGAGCCAATAGCCTCTGGCTCAGAGGCCAGGCTTTGCCATTCATCCTACAGCTAAGTCACTCCACAAGCTTCAAATGCCTTCCCACTCGCCTTACTTCCCTGAAGGAGCTTACGTGTGGGGCACAGACTTACATAGCCCCATAAACACAAAACAGGCAACATCTAGCACCCAGTTACCCTATTTTGCATTTCTGTCGCTCTTCAGACTTGCAAAGTCCTCTGACACACTGCAACCACGTAAAACCAACGAGAGTTGCCCAAATGTTCATCAATGGATGAATGAACAAAATGTGGTGGGTCCTCTTAAAAAGGAATGAAATTTTAACACGTGCTTCAACATGGACGAACCCAGGAGATGTTAGGCAAAGAGAAATAAGCCAGTCACAGAAGGACAGATACTGCCTGATTCCATTTCCACTGGGTACTTATTCACAGGGACAGAAAGTAGAACCATGGTTGCCAAGGACAGGAATTGAAAGGAAAGGGGCGTGGACATCTCATAAGTACGGAGCTGCAGTTTGGGAAGATGAGAAAGTTCTGGAGATGGATGTCGGTGGGGATGGGCCCATGACATGAATGTACTTGATGCTGCGGGATTCCACATTTGCAAATGGCTCAGATGGCAAAATGTATGTTCTGTACAGTTTCCACACCTCTTTAAAAAATAGTAATACTAAGCATGGAGAGTGGCAGCGCTAAAAATGACAGGCTCAGGGTCACTGCTAGACAAGTTAGAGCCGAGGGAGCAAAGCAACCAAGAAACACTCTGGCTCTTCAGGCTTTACTGAGTCACACAGCTCCACCCCCTTGTCAGATCGTCCCCCGCCACACACTGAAGGCCACATGGGCAGACAGATATGTCAAAACAGCCTTACAAACAAGCGCCAGCTCAAGGACAAAAACTCTCAAATCCATCAAAGCCAGTTCCCTGCCCCCACCCCAGCTGGCCGTTGTGGGGGCTGGATTCTACCTCCTCTTGGGAGAATTTGGGCTGCGTTTTCACCCTCACAGGACTGGATATGAATCATTCCTGATCTGACGACACCAGGAACAATAAAGTTAATGTAAATTTTGATAAGCAAATAGAAGTTCTATTGGCCCAACAATTACAAACCTTTGTAATCTCCTGGAAAACCAAGCTCTTTAAGTCCCCTCTCCACTGGGACTCTGGATGGATGGACACTGGCATTCAGACAATATAAAACCACCACTACGGGATGATCTCTTATTTAAAAAAATAATAATAATAACAATAGGAGATAAACATCAAATAGTTAACAGAAGACAACAGGAACTTATTTTCTTCATTTTGTTTCTTTTCAAAATTTTCTACGACAAAAAGGTTTTTTCAGAGCTAAAACCTAAGCTCATGCAGGGTGTCTGTGGTCAAACACACGTTATACCTCAGTTAAATCTAAAGGCAACATCATGAGAGAGCCAGGGCTGCTCCCGTAAACCATCCCTGTCACACAGACGAGGGATCAGGGGCTCTGGGAGTGCAGGGCCCATGCATGATACACACATGGAGCAGATGCTCAGCGGGCCAGCTCTCAGAGACCATCCCTGTTGTACAGAGCCAGAGGGTCCGTAAATACAGACAGGAAGGGGGTGGGAATAAAAGAGAGGAAGAAAACAGGAAGGCCCACTTGGCAGCCGCTGGAGGGGTGCCCCACCCCCTTCACCATCAGGAAGGTCAGAGGATGCGGGTGCACAAAGAGACTAACCACCTGGCCCGAGCCCAGAGAGCCAACCGTGTGCGCAGACGAAATGGGACATCCGCACCCAGCCTTAGCCTTTGAGTGTCCTTCCAGTTCCTCGGCTACAGACCAAAAAGGTCCCTTGGGGTTGAGGGGCAGGGGTCACTCTGGACCTTCCCCGCCCTTCTTCTTCCTGCCCCACCTGCAAGAAGGCAGTGGTTCCCTTAACAGTCATCTTGGCCTCTGCTAGCTGAGAGTGAGTCAGTCACCCCCAGGGTCTGGGTATAATCTCGAGAGACCTGATGACTCAGTGGCTCACCCACAGAACTCCACGACTGTCACAATCATTGTCCTTACCACCCACAAGAAGGGAGGAGAGGAAGGAGCAATGCCACGGTTCGCAGATGCCCAGCAGCAGGACCCTGCCAAGCCAGCTCCCTCCCACCTCTTTCCCCATCAAAGAGGATTTGGGTACAGAACAGAAAGAGTGGTGTGAAATCTATCCCAGATGTGTCACTACAACCCAGCATATAAGATTTAAAGGAACCCCACCCAGACAAAGCTGGATTTGCCACCCGTGTTCCTACCCCTCTGGTCACGCAGCCACATGCAGGTAAGCTGGGAGTCAAGGGGCAATGGAAGAAACGCTCAGAACACCAGGGGCGGGCCAGGAGGAGCACGGGCTCTTCTAGTGCCCTGCCAACTCATCATCCACTCATCTGTGCGGGTATTCCTCACGGAGCTGCGCTACTATAAACAAGTAAACAATAACAAGTCAGCTAGAGAGAGTGCTATGGAGAAATGGCCAATCAAGGAATGAGGGACTGGGGTGCTAAAGATGGCAAGTGGCAGTTATGTCAATGGTAGCCCAGGAAGGCCTTGCTGATAAAGTGACACTGGAGCAGAAACCTGAAGACAAAGAGAGTAGACCATGCAAGTTCAAGGGTTAAGACAGGGACAAGCAGAGGGACCAGAAAGTTCAAAGATTCTGAGTTAAGAGCACATGTGACAGGGAGTACAGCCAAAGGTGGACACTTCCCACCAGCTGGGGCCGGTGACCTGATGGGCCAACCTCCACCGGCCCCTGAACGCAGAGGTCCTTTAGCCAGGTCTGTGCTGAAACCTAAGCTCCGGGGACCAGGTGGGAAAATGTCTACCGCAACTCCAAGGGAAGGCTTGCTTTAACAGTCCACTCTTAATCATCCCGAGACCTGGGCATGTGGATGGTTTTAACAAATATCTGTGGGCTCAAGAAAGGCAGAGGGCAATAAATTCAAGTGTTAAAGACTTTCAGGAAAAGAGATTTTATAACCTGCTCAGTATTCATCAATGCTTACATTAAATTTTCAAAATTTCTCCTCTGGGACGCCTGGGTGGCTCAGTTGGTTGGACGACTGCCTTCAGCTCAGGTCATGATCCCGGAGTCCCAGGATCGAGTCCCGCATCAGGCCCCCAGCTCCATGGGGAGTCTGCTTCTCCCTCTGACCTTCTCCTCCCTCATGCTCTCTCTCACTGTCTCTGTCTCTCAAATAAATAAATAAAATGTTTAAAAAAAATTTTTTTCTCCTCAAACCCAACCCAAACCCTTCATTCTGCAATTTTACGTCAAGAATACTTCTACTCTGGGCTACATGGCGGCAGGGGGTAGGGGAGTAAGGCGAACAACACATCCCCAACTTGGGGTGTGCCTGAAAGACTAGTGGGACACAGGCATTTTTGATAGACAGCACCTTGGGGTTCTGGAGCTCCTGGGGACTGGCCAGCACCTTTCCATTTCCCTGGAAAGCCAGAGGCCTGGGCAGGGCCCAGAGAAGGTAGAAAGCGGGGGTGGCTGCTCAGAGCTGGTTGCAGACCAATGAATACTTGGCACTTTGATGTGGTACAACCCCGCTCAGCTGGCCAGGGAAGGAGGCAGGGTTCAGGCAGCCATTCTGTCTAGGAATAAGGCAACATATCCGGCAGGTTCCGAACAGAAAGCTCAGTCAGGGTTCACAGTGTGAAATCCAAAAACATACCTAGGTTCTCGCCAGAACCACCAAAGCATCAAGGGGAATCCCGGGATGAGAAACTAGAGAGATGCATGGAGACAGGGCAAAGGGGAAGAATGCCCAACTCCTGGCCATGACCCTCGATGGGTCTGACCTGAACACGTTCCTCAATTTCTAGGGCTTCGCCTTCCAAGGGTTCACCCTCCCATGATCTCCCATTCAACACCCAACCACCTGCCTGTGAACATATTAGGCGCTCAAACACCTGTTGCTCACACTTTTATACCAGTAGAGACCACAGCTTCCAACACATAAACACACACCAGGGACAGAACCCATACTCTGGACCCCTTGCTCAGGTCTGCTTGAAGTGGCGAGTCACACTGAAGAGACACAGGACTAGGAGGCTAGAGTGGGCAGAGGTATGCGAAAGTCCCCAGCCCTGGAGCCTGCTGGATATTGGGGCGGGGGTCTTCTCCTCCCTCTGTTCATAGGACCTGGCTCTCAGAGGCTGGGAAGGGACATAAGCACAACACGGCACCACATCAGTAGTGACAAGGAAGACACACTGGGAAGCCAGAACTAGGTCCCACACCACACAAGACGGCTCAGCTGCCTGGGGACTGGATCTGGGCACCAACTCAGCACCCACTCAGGGTCCTCCAAATGCCACCACCCACACTCTATTAATAGCACCAAGAGCTGGAATGGAGCAGCTTATGGGGGCAGGGGAAAATAAAGGCTGTCTTCATACGCAGATGGTTACAAAGTCACGGTCCTTCTGCATCCCAGGGGCTCACACTTCTACCCTCTGGCAGTGGACACGGAAGTCAGAAGATGCACCCCAGACTTGGTTTGGGGCAGCAGGCAGGGCAGACGATCTGTGGGGTACCTCACCTGCCTCGCCACCCTCCGTGCCTCCCAGTAGGGCTTCGAGTCCTCCACAGCTTTGCCGATTTTCTTCACCAGCTCGTCCAGTTTCACTGTTGCTTCCACCAGAACAGAACGGAACTTCTGACGAGCATCCTGCACCAAGGAGAAAACGAGGACACAGTTCACGCATGAGAAGGAATCCACAGAAATCTACTTCCCATAACCAAAAGCACCAAGGAGGGCCTGCACACAACCTTCAGGCCCTGAAATTAATACTTCTACAAGACGGTGTCTAGAGCAGCACCATCTGAAACATTCTGAGATACTGGGAATGTTCTATCACTTGCACTGCCCAATACAATAGGCACTGGCCACATCTGGCTATTGAGGACTTAAAACTGGCTGACACAGAGGAAATGTGTTTCTAATTTGTTTAATTTTAAATAAATCTATTTAGATTTTAAAAATAAGGGTGGCTAGTGACTACTATATGAAAGGGGTTTAAGATTTTTTTTTAATTTATTTGACAGGGAGCACACGGGCACAAGCAGGGGAGGAGCAGAGGGAGAGGGAGAAGCAGACTCCCCACTGAGCAAGGAGCCCAAGGTGGGGCTCAATCCCAAGACCCAGGGATCATGACCTGAGCCGAAGGCAGAGGCCTTAACCCTCTGAGCCACCCAGGTGCCCCTAAAGCCCTTCTTTTTAATTGTATTTCCTCCTTGTAAAGTCCGTGGATCTAGGTTTGTTGACTTTCACAGCATGGTTAAGCCTGTAATGGCCCACCTGCCTGTTCCTCCCTTCCAGACTCTCACTGGGGGCCCAGGTTGCTCTAGCTGTCTCGAGGGTGGGTGGCCACCCTTATCTCTTGCCATTCTTCACATTCCAGACTTCCAGCTTCCTTAAGGTTTTTTTTTTTTTTTTTTTTTTTTTTTGGAAATCCCAAGCCTCTCCTTCTCTCCTCTCTGCTGAATATGGCTCTTTGGCTCGGGGCTAGGTGTTTCCTCTCCCTCCCCACAAGAGACCATTCGCACTTCTGGCTTCTGTGTAGATGTTACCCCTCTGGATGTTTTCTGCAAGTCTCCCTCTTGCCGCCCCCTCCCACCTTACCTGGCCTGATGAGGTTTTCCGCCGCTGGGTTCCACGGCACCAGTTTTACCATTCTCATCCTGGCACAGACTTTTCTGGAATGGGCTATAATGCCTGCCTCACCCATCAGACTGGAAGTGCCCTGGAGATAGGCACCAAACCCAAGGCCCAGCACAGGGTCTGGCATATGGGAAGTTTCCACTCAGTGTTTAATGTGGACTACATCATATGGTCAAGGACCTCCTGGGAGTATAGGGAATGGGGCCATCATTATGGACTGAAGCTGCCAGGGGTTTCTTCCTCTGAGGACCCAGATGGAGCTTTTAAATCAAAACCTAAGGGATGCCTGGGTGGCTCAGTTGGTTAAGCATCTGCCTTAACCAGCAGGGAGCCTGCTTCCCTTCCTCTCTCTCTCTGCCTGCCTCTCTGCCTACTTGTGATCTCTGTCTGTCATATAAATAAATAAAATCTTTAAAAAAAAAAAAAAAAAAGGGACTTTAGCCCAATGTCTAGGAAGACCTACTGAAGGGCTGGATCAGTACTTCCCAGAGCTTCCACTCCTCTACTCCTTTCCCTTCAGCATTTGCATGATGGCGGGGTGGGGAGTCTGTGGTAGAGGGAGAGGCTTGAATTTAAAAGGAGAAATGGATACTCTGAGAAGGAACAAAACGTGAACACCAGCTGTGGGGCTGTCACAAGACCAAGCAGCCACCCTGCTGATAGAGCCCGTGTGAGCTCCACCGGCCGCAAAGGGCCCATTTCCCAAGTAACCATCTAAAATCTCTAAACATCGGATAGTGGGGGCCTCCTGGGCCAATGGGATGGCTCACGGGAGTGAAGGAGGCTCTGCTCACTTCTATTTCATTCCCCTCTATCATATGGCGCCAGGGCCTGCTAGATGGCTTTGAAAAGGATGCCAGCCCCCCCAACATGATGATGATACCGCCTTTGCCTTGGACGGCAGTTTCTCAGGTCCTGAGCCCCAGCCCACTGCTGACACTGGCTTTGGTCCCTTCCCCCAGGCCTATATCGTCATCATCATCATCTTCTCTGGCTTCTCTTCTATCTAGCCAGGCCCACAGCCACCTGCTACAACTTCTAAAGATGAACATCACGAGCTTTGTCCTCCAGAGAAAGTGGCACCAGTGCGTAAGGCCATCCGGGGACTCGCAAAGCCCCACAGAGCTTCTCCCAGACTTAACTGCCAATATGTAGGAGGTAGCATGTTGTCTGAAGCCTGGGAATTTATATATATATATATATATATATATGATCAGATAACTCCTTTATTAATCATTTTTATTACCAGTTAAATAGCTACTTTGCATCTCATAGGGAGGGCAGTTAGAAGGAATAAAGGAGAATGCAAATGTAAAACTACCACCAGTTCCTGGACACCCAGCAGATGCTCAGTAAATGCACCCAATCCTCCCCCTACCAACACCTGGCATAAAAAGGGACCCACATCCCATTTAAAAAAAACACCAGGGAGGTCTCTCTGAGGCAGGCGTGGCTGACAAGAACGGAAGGTGCAACCTGTTACACAGTGTAGGCAGAGACTTTGCAAATGCGCTGGCACACATGACTGATCCCCCAAGTCCCCACCGTGGGAGGCAGTGCCAGCACTAGCCATCCTCCTCCCACCCCTCCCACCTCCAGTCCCCAACCAGACAAGTGAGATAACAGAGAGCCCAATCATTTGTCGTGTGACCCAAGGCAGATCACATCGTCTCTCTGGACCTCTTTTGTAAAATGAGACTTGGGCCCCAAACCAGCAGCCTGTGGGCCAGTAGGCTTAGTGCCTTCAGTCTGTACTGTGTGTACTAAATGCCAGAAAAACCCATTAAAAAAAGAAGTGGATTCTCAAAACTTCTCATAAAGGAAAAGAATCTGATAATCTGACAACCCTGGGCCCCCATTCCTACCTGACACCCGCCTAAAAGTGGAATAGGAGATGCCCCTCAGAAAGAGATCGCCCCTCCAGTCCCTAGCACCCCTGTGCCTGAATCACACCAGGCCCACATCACTCATTCAGGTGCCCAGCCCAGCCCCTGGAGACTTAATTTGCCAAGAGCTATTCTGGGCCCTGGTGACTAGAACCCACCCAAGTCTGTCTTTGTGAGGGAGAGGGAAGTAGAGGGCAGATGGCAATTTAGTATGTGGCAGACACTATTATAAATGCTTCCATTCCATCAATTTGTGCAGTCGCTAACAACCTTAGCAGGCAGTGCTATTGCTGTACTTTGCATTTTACAAAGAGGAGAACTGAGGCACAGAGGTAGCTTGCCTGAGGCCACAGAGTTAGGAAATGGCAGAACCAAGATTTAAACTCAAGCAGTAAATAAGTGTAATGTCACATGAAAAATACCAAGACCTCAGTATACACACTGCGTGTGTAAGACACACGCAACCGTGAAGACCACCCAAAGTGTCATCCAAGCCCGCGGCCAAGAAGGGATTTGCAGATTTCCCCAGACACAGCTGCAGGGGCATTAGCAGCAGCGGGAGGAGCATGAGCAAGGAACAGCAGGCGTGGGGGGGGGGGGGGGGGGGGGGAAAAGGAGGGGGGGGGGGGGGGGGGGGGGGGTGTTGGAAGAAAAGGAGGCACGTGTGTGGAGTAAGGCATTGGAACGTTATCCCAAGCACAGTGGGGAAACACGGTGGATTGATTTTATTTATTTAAACATAAGTCTCAATTGACCTCCCATGCCCCTGTTAGAAATGACGGAAGAATGCGTTCTACCACAAAAAGGAAAGGAATGGTAGTTTACTGGAAGGCTCCACTGTGAAGCACTTCCACAGCCGCGATCACGTGAATGCTGTATACTGACTACACCACAGCTCTGTTGGGAGGAAAGGAAGTGTTTGGAAAGGGGAGTGTCTGGGGGGACAGAGGGAGGAAAGAGATTAAAATCTCATCTTCCAAGTGGGATGCTGGCAGATGGTAACTAAAACTGAGAAATCAACAAGCAGCCGCAGGGAGCCCACTATTTAGAGCCCTAGAAGTTACTACCTAATCAGCGAAAGTACGTTAAGCTTATCTATTACACTGCCTCTAAAGGAGGAAAAAAATGCGAGTAGGGTAGAAGGATGGGACACCAGCGCAGGGTTCTTTGTTGTTGTTGCTTTGTTTCCCCTTTTTAAAAAATTGTGGTAAAACACCACGGTGAATTTTTAAGCAGAGACATGACGGGATCAGAACTGGGTTTTACCAAAGGGCGAACAGGGTTCCTGAGGTGATTCCGGCCAGAAGGTTCAGGGACCACCAGCCTGGGTAAGTGTGTGACCACCAAAGGGTATCGCACCCAAAAGACTAGGTCTGACACCAGCGTTCCTCTCTATCAATGAGGCTGTGTTGGTGGGGACGGTGACGCACGACTGGCTCACGTCCAACCCCCAACAAGCCTATTCATCCAAGACGCATTAAAAGCTGAACACAAAGCCAGCCTTCTCCTTGAGAAGATAAAGCAGACCCAGTTCTTTTACCATTCCACAGAGAATCATAGCCATCTGAGTAACAACTCTCCACAAATATTGGAGCGTGAGAGCCCACAAACCAAAATCTCTCCTGCCCGCCCAATGTTAACAGTCCTGATTTTCTTGGGCCTCACCCAGGTCTCGGAAGTGGTCATGTGACCCAGGCCTGGCCAATCAGATTCAGATACTCCTAGCCTCGGTGATTGTGGAGGGAGAACATGTGACCCATCAGAACCAATGAGACTTTAGCCTGGGACTTCTCTGAAACTGCGAGAGGAACTGTTTTCCCTTGAGATGGCTGCGAGAATGGAATGAAAGCGTGGAGCAGATGGCAGCCATCTTGGCACTGTGAGAAGAGAGTCTGAGAGAAGGAAGTCCCAGCAACACTTGAGCTTCGGGACGCAGCAATGCTTCACAGTCTAACCCTATACAACACCTTCCCCAGGGCCAAAACAGCACACACACACCCAGCTGTCACCACTGTTTCATATTTTGTTCAAGCTAGTTGAAAATAGATTTGTCATTTGCAATACCATGAAACCTTTAAAAAAAAAAAAAAAGACTGAGAAAGATGCCTGAAGGTAGTCATC